TGGGAGAATTAGGGGTCGGACTGTGGGAAGAGACAGCTGCTGGCAGGAAGGTGCTTTGTTCCCGGCAGAGGGAAAGAACTTCTCCAGTTCAGAACTGGAGCTGAACCACATCACAGGTGAAGGGCAGCCAGGTTTGTCCCGGCTGTGGGTGATGGGGAGGCTGCTGAGGACAGGCTGGGGCCGGAACTTCTTGCAGGAACACGCTCGGTGTGTGCCCCAGCTCAAGATTTCTTTGCTCCTTATGCAACATCCGCCTGGGATTTTGTAACTCCAGATGTTGACCCAAGGAGGGGAGCTGGATTCCTGCAAGAAAAACACCCGGGGAGGGGGGGGATCGGAACGGGGCTGTGCCAGGCTGTGCTCTGGGCAGGCAGTTGAGTATGACGGAATTATTTTGGCTTTGCACGTAGCTCTTGGAGCTCTGTGGATTTAATCGGTGTGCGGTGAGCACCGGCCGCTGTTCCCAGCGCAGGGTTGCACATCCCGGTTCTCCGGGAGCCACGCTGGTTCCATTCACACCCTTGCAGCATGCAGGGGTGCAGGGTGGGTCAGGGTGGGTGCTGACGGCTGCCTGTGTGTTCCCAGGTTTAGATCTGCACAAGAACCAAGATCAGGAACCATGGCATCCATCCCATCCAGCGGCTCGCTCATGGCCACGCACAACTATCGCAGAAGTAAGGGCAGGCTGGGGGCTGGGGTGGGGGTGAGCATGTGGGGGGCTCTGCCAGGTGTGGGGGGATGTGGCTGGAGCAGAGATGGAGCTGAGCTCAGGTCTGTGCTTTCAGCTGCTGCCCCATGTGAGTGTTTGGTGAGAAAAGGGGACAGCCAGCAGTGTCCCTGCCGCTGCCCAGACCCTCCTTTGGGCCCCCCAGCCCAGCTGTACCAGCTGGTGAGGGGGCTCAAAACTCCTCCGCTTCTTACTGAGCTTGTAGGGATGGAGTGGACTGTTTCACCTTGCACTGTTGCTTCAGAAATGATCTGCAGAATCAGTCTGGGCAATGGCTGCTCTTGGTACCTCACCCGGGGAGAGTTTCTGGTTTAATGGATTGCTCAAACCAGAGGGAATTAAAGGATTCCCCCGGGATGAAACAAGCAGCAGGCTTGTAGCTGTTGTACGGAAAGTGCATGGATTATACACAGGAATTTGCATCCTCTTGGCCTCAAGTCATCAGCAAAGGCCTCTCAAAGGCACTAAATTTTGTCCTTGGGGTTGCAGATTTTTTCCTGCAGAGGTGTTCAGGTGTTTTCCTGCTCCCTGCAGTTGGAATCTCCCCAGTATTCCCATCCTAGTGGTTTTTGCTGGCCTGGTGCTAAACTGGGCAAGTGGTGGAGTGAGTTAGTGGTGAGGCTGAGCTGTGTTTTTCCAAGGCTGTGTTTTCCTTCTTGTGGCACGACCGTGGGTCAGCAGTGGTTCTGATGACCAGGATTTTTCCACAGGGCGCCTGAGCTCCACATCCAGCACCAGCTCCTGCAGCTCAGAGTACTCTGGGGAGGTCATCCCCCATGGCCCAGGTAAGTGTCACCTGTCCTGCCTCGTGGGGACTCTGCTCCCAGTCCCTCCTTGGGAAATCTTACTGGAGGTGAGCCAGCCTCTCCTGTGGGATGAGGGTGAGGTGGCCATGGGGCTGCACTGACCTGGGCTCTCCCTGTCATGCACCGTTCCTCAGACCTGCCCAAGTCTGACCCCGGCCAGTGGTGGGCCAGCTTCTTCTTTGGGAAGACAACTCACCCAGCCATGACAACGGTGTCAGAGTCCCAGGAGAGGTGAGTGCTTTAAGGTGACACTGGGGAGCACCAATGCAGCACACAGGGCACTGGGGAGTGTCCCTGCTGCATCCCCCAGGGCTCATTCTGACCCAATGCACCACGTGCATGCCCAGGGCTGCCACCCCTTTGCTGCAGGAATAAATGCAGAGCAGTAACGCCGCATTCAGGGCTTGGCAGGGTTGCTGACTCTCTCTGTGCTGTGTGTTGCAGCCTGGGAGCCCTGCGGGTGGCCACAGGACCGGTGGCCTGTGGGCTGGTGGCAGGTGCAGGACGGAGGCGCCACGCCAGCGAGTCCAGCGCGGGACCCTCGGTGTGAGCGGGCACTGCCCTGCTGCCCACCCCGGCGGGCACTGCCCCTGCCTGTAGAGTAGCTGGCTGCTCCGAGCACCGCCTGCTGCTTTCTGATGGAAAGGTGCAGCAACCCTGACGATTCCACTCCAGCCTTTTTTACTCCCTCCCAGTGTAACTAAGCCCTCTCAAAGCAGACTTGGTAACACGTTTTTATTACCCTAAACTTGTACAATGGCAACGAATAAACTGGAGCAGCCTTTTAAAACGCTGTGGGTTGTTCTTTGTCCGTGGAGGGGGGAGCAGAGCGGTGCTGGGGGTGCTGGTGGGGCTGGACCAGGACACAGCACAGCCCCTGGCAGCAGCAGCAGGATGTGGTGGTGGCAGATAGCACGTGCCAGCCTGACTCACCAGGCCCTGTGTGTTCTGCATGTGAGCCAGATCTGGCTGGGCTGTGGTGGTGCTGCAAGCGCCTTCCCTCACCCTCTTCTCTCCTTACTTGGCTATGCAGCTGTCCCTGCTGGCACTGAACTTGTTTTGCTCCCCAAACACACTGTCCTGCGCTGCTTTGGTGGCTCCAGGGGTAGGAGCGAGTGCCAGGGCAGGTGGGGCTGGGGGAGGGATTTGAATGCACAGCTCCATAATGAGGAGAGAGATAATCAAGACATGCATTTCGTGGGTCTGGATATCAGGCTGGAGCTCCTGGTGTGGATGGCAGCTCACAGGCTGGGTTTGCAGCCCTGGATCCCAGCTGGCCCTTGTGCTGCACTGCCCCAAGTGCTGCTTTGCCTGATTTTTGCCTTCAATTAGTCAGTTTGGCTGTTTGATCCTTGTGTGACCAGCTTAATAGCTGGGAAAACAAGATCCTGCATGAAGGGAGAGCCTTTATTCCTGCTGGAGGGAAAAAAAAACCTTGCAGAGGTTGATTTAAAGGTGCCAAATGTTCCTGCTCTGCCTCCAGCCACAGCATGAGGTGCAGGGCTGTCCCTGTGTGCACCAGGCAGCTGAGGCCATGGGACCCCTGAGCCGTGACTTTTCCTCCTGGTGTCCCGTGCTGGGAGGACAAAGGGCAGGGAACGGCTGGGGGCAAGTGGCTGCTCTGCAGGGGCACCCAGGGTCACTTCCAGCTCTGTTGTTTCTACAGTGGAAAGCACTGAGTAAGCTTTTCAGTGAGCTCTGCTTCCCCAGGCACTGGGCCTTGTCTCTGGGGCAGAGTCTGTGTCCCCTGTCCCTGTGAGAGGGGCCAGGGTGGCACTGGCACCTCTGCTCCCCCTGTGTCAGTGTGTGCATCCAAAGGGAATGGCTTCAGGGCTGTTCCAGCAGTCTGCACACACAGTTTGGACCCCAGGGGCTGCCAGCACCCTGAAGGTGCCCCCCATGTCCATGGCAGCAGCTGATCTGATGTGACTTCCAGTCAGGCAGCAAACTGCTGTTGCTGTGGGGCTGCACATCCCAGAAAACAAATGGCAGCCTTTAAACTTCACAAAGCACAGGAAAATCAAGATAAAATAAACCCTTTCTGAGTAAGACAAGGCAAGGTGGGTTGGCTGGCTGGGATGTGTGGTTGTAGCACCGCACCAGGGTTTTCCCAGGCCCCAGAAAAGCCCTTTGGGTGCTGCTCAGCCCCAGGATGCCTCAGGGATCTCCTCTGCTGCTGGTTGCCAGCAAAAGCCACGTCTTTTGGAGAGACAGATATTTTTTTCTAAGCCTGGAAATCAGTGTGGACACACAAAGGTAAAGTCAATATTGCTGTATTTGCTTGTTGGTCTTGTGATCATGGAGGGACAAACCCATCAACTGTCCCCAGGCACCCAGGGCAGGCAGTGACAGAGCAAAGGTGCCAATCCCACATCCCTGGCTTTCATCTGGGCACATTCCCCAGCCTGATCCAGCTCTAAGTGAACTGCTCTGTGATGCCATGAGCACATGGATGCTCCCCTGTCCAGCTTTCAGATGCTGGATGAAGGTTAAATTCATTCACTGCTCCAATGTGGGTTGGATTTACAGCAGGGACTGCAACTTCTGACAGTGTTCTGTCCATGGTTCCCTGTCCAGTGAAGCAAAACTGCCTGGAAAAGCTCTGCTGAATTAAAGGCTTTTTTGAATGTGTGTGAAGTGTCACAGACTCCTCTGCTGGGAGTGAAATCCCCCCCAGATGTGCTCCCAGGCAGCTTCATGGCATTTCTGAGAGCAAAGCTCTAGGCCTTGCCTTTTTTGCTTGGGATTAAAAGGCTTTTAGTGCCTTTCTCACCCTTTCCCAGCCTTCAGACATATTTTGGAAAAGCATCTGACAGCCAAGCAAATTTATTTTTGTTCTGTTTCCATCTCCACTGCTGTGGGTGTCTCTCTTCTCAAGTAACAAGTGATGAGAGAAAACTCTCATTTCACAATTCTATGGAACAACCTCAGATTGTGCCAGGAGAGGTTTAGGTTAGGATATCAGGAACAAATTTCCACACTAAAAGAATTACCAAGCATGGGAACAGGCTTTCCAGGGCAGTGGAGTCACCATCCCTGGAGGGGTTTAACAGACCTGTGGATGTGGCACTTGGGGACCTGGGTCAGTGTGGGCCCAGCAGTGCTGGGGGAACGGTTGGACTTGATGATCTTAGAGGGCTTTTCCAACCTATGGTTGAACCTATGGAATCTATGATTCCAGCTGATTTCCTGTGTCCTCATGTTGCTGCTGTGGTGGGACAGCAAGGGAAACATGGTGCAGTAGAAGCAAGAGGATGAAAGGGGCTCCCCATGCACTGCACACCTCCCTAATCAATCCCCTTCTTTCTGCAGGGCTTGATATTGGAGGGGCAAGCCCCCACCTCCCATGGAATCAACTCCACAGGGACTGATGTCCCCCCTCTGCTCCCTCAATGGTGTTTTAACTGTTGATTAATCCACATATTTACTAAAAACTCGCTGGTGTTTTCTGCTCACTCGTCCCTTGCAGCAGCCCTCGTGCCACCCCACCGCCTCCAGAGAGAAGTATTTCTTTACATTCCCTGCCTCTTGCTGCTGGGGGTTGTTTTGGTTTGGTTTGTTTCCCTCCAGCAGCTTTGCTTCCCCCTCACCCTTCAAAGGGTGATGTGGGACCTTAAAAATAGAAATGAGCTGTGCAGCTGAAATACATCGCATTAGCCTGAGGCTGCTTCCAAATGCCACTGGGTCGGGGCTCCGGTCCCTGGGTCTGCACACGGGCACAGCCAGGCTGCAAATGCAGCAGGAGAGACCTGTAACAGCAGGATTTGCAATGCCCTCTAACAGTAGGATTGGCAGTGCCCACCCTGGAGTGGTTCCAGAGGGACTGGGACATTGCTGCCTTCCTGGAGTGGATTTAAGGAAAAGCCTGGTCCAGTTTTGGGGGGAGGGCTGCAGTGCCCAGCTCAGGCTGAGCTCCTGGGAGAAAAATTTGGGTTCTCCTCTCCCCCCACTCCCGAGTTTATCTACTTTTAGAAAACAAGTAATGACTCTGAGAAGTGCTAAAACCCAGGAGACCGTGCTGGAGGACAAACACGGGCTGTGGATTGGCTTTTCATGCAGCGGAGGAGGAGGAGGAGGGGGAGGAAGGAAAACTGCTGTGGGCAGCACAGTGTCATCATGTCCCCATATTCCCTGTCCACCTCCCCAAGAGGTCACTGTGACTGCTGAGTGAGCTGGTTCTGGGCCATGTGTCTGACGGGCTGGTGCCCTGCCAGCCCTCCTGGCATCTCCAGGTACCCACCATGGATGGCTGTGTCCCACACCACCCCCATCACCCCACGCACACCCTTCTCCTCCTGCTTATTTTTGAGCTCCATCTGGTGGCAGCCAGACCTGCAAATTCACTGTTGTTACTCTATTTGAGCAGCCTGGTCTCGTGGAAAGTGTCCCTGCCCGTGGCAGGGGGCTGGAACAAGGTCATCATCAGGGTCCCTCCAACCCAAACCGTTCTGTGGTGCAGGAGCCCCTCTGTGCCTGCACCAGGAGTGTCCCTGCCCTTCCTCAGTGTGCCATAGCCCTTCACCTGCTGGATGTGGCTTCAGTCTTTCCTTTCCTGCAGGAGAGGGCCTGGGCTGTACCTAGGTGTGTTCTCTGCTCAGCTGTTTGATCAGGCTGCAAAATGTTTGTGCAAGGAGGGGATTTCCTCTTGCAACCACGTCCAAACTCAACCTGTAGCTTTTTCCATCTGGGGACACTCTAACCATGAGCTGCTGCCGTCCCAGGACAGGCCTGCAGCTCTGTGGACATGAACAGAGCAGGCTTCATCCCACCCCTAAACCACATTCCTGCCTCCCCTTTCCAGGCCCCTCGTACTTGCAGACTTGCTCAGCCAACAGCCAGACTTGTTTCTGCTGTTCTGCACAGCACGGACCCTGCCCAGGCGTGGGGAGTGTTGCATAAACTTCATTAACTTTATAAATTCCAATGTTGCTGTTGGCTCAGTCCCACTGGTCACCTGCAAAGGGCCAAAATGGGCTTGTCAGGAGGAATTCTAAACCTCTGCCAGCTGCCTTTCACCCAATGCCTGACTGCTTCTGCCACCAGTGCCACAATTTTGGTAGGCTCAGGCTGCCCCTGCCTGCACCAGCCTGGAGACTTGGCATTGCTCCAATTCCTGCTTTTCCACGTGTTCTTCCACTGCTGCCAATGACTGTCCGGCCTCTGGGAGTGTTCATGGGCTGGAGCAAACCCTGTCCTGGCTTGGAAGGGACCAGAGGTTCAAGGTCCCCCTGCAATGCCATATCCTGGGGTTAGGGGGGAGCTGGGGGTGGTGGGAGTATCTCTTGGCTTGCCCAAGGTGGGATAAAGAGCAAAGCAGGGTGATGCAGGGTTTTGCCTTTGCTGTCTGCACCTGGGATAAGGAGGCATTCATATTAGAACACAGACATTCGTTTTTCTTGGAATAACCACACGATGGTGGAGTGAGACAAGGATCCAGAGTGGAGCAGCCAGTCAGGAGCTGACTGTGTGGAGTCCTTGGGGAATGTGGGACTGCTGCCTGGGAAGGGGGTGGCAGAGGCACACAGGGGTGCTTGGGTGAATAGTCCAAAGGGACACAAGAATGATTTTATCTGTGGTTGCAAGAGTGGGACTGGTTGCAAATCAGTGCTTCCCTGAACCTACCCTTGGTGGTTTCCTTGAACCCATCCCTGGAAGGGTTCACATCCAGGTTGGACAGGGCTTGGAGCATCCTGCTGTAGGAAGGGAAGGTGTCCCTGTCCATGCCAGGGGGGGCTGGACTGAGATGAGCTTTAGGGCCCTTCCAACCCAAGCCATTCCATGATTCCTGGGAGGGAGTGGAGCAGGGTGCTGAGGGAGGAGCATCCAGCCCTGACAGGACTCCCGTGGGTGGATGCACACACATTTATTGATAAATACACCGAACACACACTACAAGATAAATCAAGCAGAGCCACAACTGAACATGAACTGCAAACTCTCACGTTTGTGTGGGGAGCAGCAGGGACCTCCCACCCTACTGAGTGAAGGAAGATGTAAACTTTGAGTGATGCCTCCATGGGGCTTCTCCAAACTTCCACAGCCAAGCACTGGCAACGAGTTCTCCACAACTCATTGCTTCCTCCCTTGGCCACCTCCCTGCACCCTGACTGTGAGGGACCACAGGCTGTTTTCTGGGGAATGTGCTTTCTTTGTAGCCCTGTCAGGGGGCAAACCAGAAGGAAGGAACTTCTTGGCAAGAGCTGGCCTGGAGGGGCTTGTGTGGGAAGGATGGTGGGAAGGGGTCCCTCAGGAGAGGGAGCTGAGCAGCCGCCTGTAGATGAAGCCCAGCTTCTCCCGCAGGGCCAGGAAGGTGGGACGCTCCTCCGTGTTGCCGCTCCAGCACTCCAGCATGATGCTGTAGATCTCAGGGGGGCAGGGGCTGGGCCGGGGGAGGCGGTAGCCCCTGGTGATTTGCCGTACGGTTTCTTGGTTTGTCATTCCTGCAAGGAAGGAGAAGATGCCCCTGACTGTGATGTTCCCAAAGGATGCCCTGAAGGTACACCTGCAGTGGCCAAGATGTCACTGGTGGTGCTGTGAAATGGTGTCTCTCTGCCAGAGGGGTGCTAGAAAAGAGGATCTGGGAGATCCAGACCAACTTGCTGCCCCTTGCTCCTGAACCCACTGTTCAACCACTGAATAGCCCTTTAAGTCCACCCCTAAGTGGACAATAACCTGCTCATGCTCCAGGAGCTGCTTCCATATCCCTTAGGAAAAGGGCACTATAACAATTCATGACCCTCTGGCTTTTGGAGACCACAGGCAAGCTGCCCAGCAGTGGATGGAGGGCACAGGAGTGGGGCAGCAGCCCTACCTTCATATGGGATCTGTCCATAGGTGAAGACTTCGTAGAGCAGAATCCCATAGGACCAGACGTCGGACTTGAGGGAGTAGGTGCGGTAGTTGGCTGCCTCTGGGGCCGTCCACTTCACCGGGATTTTAGTGCTGCTGCTGGTGGAATAAATGTCATCCTGAAAAGCAATGGGAGACAGGACATGAGGGATGGGGTGAACAGCACAGACAAGGTTTTTGAGGATGGCAGGGAATGCCTCCATCATGGGACAGCTTTATGAGCTCGAGTGGTGGGAGGGAGGGACCACAGCATCCCCTGAACTGACCTTGAGGAGCCGGGCAAGTCCAAAATCAGCGATTTTGCAGGTGAGTTCTTCTCCAACCAGGATGTTTCTGGCTGCCAGATCCCGGTGGACAATGTGCTTCTCCTCCAGGTACCTCATCCCATCCGCCACTTGGCAGGCGATGTTGAGCAGGTGGGAGGTGCCCAGGGATTTCCCTTCAGGACCTGTTAATCCAGACAATCACTGGGGGCAATCTACCAACATTTATTTTGGGTGTTCTGGTTTGGAAGGAGACCCTGTGCTGGCAGTATGGGACATGGGGAACATGTAAAACCTCAAATTTGTGCTCCTGCCTAACTATCCTGGTTGCTCTTTGTGGGAAGATCATCACAGCCATGTGCTCCTCAGGCATGGGACAGAGGTGAGCTCTGAAGAGCACCAAGGTCACAGATATCCATGGCTTGTTGAAAGCCAAAGGTGACCTTCTGCCATTCAAATCTCCCTGCAGGCCTCTCAGCCTGTTGTAGCTGTGAGCTCCAGTTCCTCCGGCACTGAATGCTGCTGGAGCCCCAACCAGAAACAAGGTCAGTGTGGGTGGGAGGGGGAGTACCCAGTAGAAAAACAGGTCTTGGTGGGAGCGGTTTGTTTTGTTTCCTTTCAAGACTGATTGTGCTGGGTCAGGAAAAGAAAGGCCAAGTAAATTAAGCTGGGTGGTGAGTGGTCCATGGCACGTTATGAGCTCTACACATGCACAAACCCATGGGGAGGTTTGGCTGCTTCATTCCTAAAGAAGGTGGAGTTGCCCAAATGCAGCAGGGGGATTCTGTGCACTGGTGGGAGCTGGCAGACCATAGGTAGGTGGAGGAGGGATGAAGGTCCCTACCAACAGGCTTGGGCTCCCAAGGGTTGATACAGAGCCAGCCCACATGGATCATGCCAGACTTTGTGATCCCAAGAACATCTCCACTAACTGCCCATGGATTGTTCTGCGTTAGCCCTGATCAAACAGGACAGAAACCAGGCTGGCACTCTCTGAGGGTCCCCATTCAGATTCATAGGGCTGCTCTGAGGCCCAGGAAGCAGTGACCCAGGATCCCCCATCCCGTGGGGCCAGCACAGCACTCACTGTTGAGGTAGCTGTGGAGGTTGCCTTTGCGCATGAGCTCGGTGATGATGTACACGGGCTCCTCCAGGGAGCACACGGCGTGCAGCTGGATCAGCTTCTCGTGCCTCAGGCGCTTCAGGTTCTGAATCTCCTTGGTGAAGTCTTCTGCTTTCATGTCAGCTGTGGGAGAAAGCCAGCACAGCCCTTGTGAAACACTTTCTCATGTAGACATTGGGACTTCAGTGCCTCCAGCTGTGATGAGGACCTTTTTTACCTCCTCACAGCCCATCCCTGCTCTCAGAGCTTAGGTCTGCACAACCTGTGTCTCAGAGCCACAGAGATATTTTCCATGGGGCTTTGGATCCTGTTTCCAGGGTCATAGTCCCAACAGGACTTGATTTATCACAAACCCATTTGATTTGGGTGTCACTTGATGTGTTGTCACTTGTCACACACCCACTGGCTGAAGCCATTTTACAGGGATGCAGCCCAAGCACAGAAATATTCCAGTGGCTCCCCACCAGGTCCTACTGCAGTTTTCCTGATAAAACAGTCACAGTGGCCAAGAGGGTGAGGAAATAAAGGAGGGTCAGTGATAATGGCAGTGAATGAGAGACTCAGCTGGCTGCTGTTAACATCCGATTCCCCACGTACCTTTAATGATCTTGATGGCCACTGGCACCGTGTTCCTCCACAGCCCTTCCCACACCTCTCCAAAGTAGCCCTCTCCCAGCTTCCTCCGCAGGGTGAACTCCCAGCGCGGGCGCTCCCAGCCGTCCCTCTCGGGAGGAGTCTGCCAGATGGACATGGAATGGCACACTTGGACCAGCCAGCCAGGAAGGACCTGCTGGTGGAGCCTGCACCAGCCCTTGGTGCCCACAGAGGAGCAGGGCGTGGTGCTCCACCAGCCAGGGGCTGAGCACTGCCCTTCCCTCAGTGCTCATTGCGGGCACAAAACTCACGGGCCATCCTCTGCATGAGCCCTGCTGGGACCCCGAGTGTGCAAGGAGGAGAGTTTGGAGAGCACATGAAATACCAGGAGTTCAAGTCATAGTTCACTCCTTATCAGACCTCAAAAGTGGCTTTTCTCCATCTCCACCAATAAATAAAATCAGTGAATTCATATTATTGCATATTATGGCTGATTCAGACTTTAGCTCATTAAGCATTTCTTTTATCCCACACCTTTCAATTTCACTCTTGGATTATTCGCATAGTTAATTGCTATTTCCAAGACATAATCAGTGGATGGAACTCTAATCAGGAAATGAGTTGGCAATTTGGGATTAATACTGTAATTAGACTTGTGAGTGCTGCACTAATTGGTATGAAAACTTCATAAAAGCCATGTGTTTTGTCTTATATTCTCAGGAAAAAAATTGCAAGCGCAGGTATTTCGAGATTCCATATTGAAGGGGATGGCAGCAACTTGGTTTCTAGTCTTTGAGATGGACAACATATTTCAGAAAATACTGTGCCTTTTGGCTGGTCAAAAATACCAGCTATATATAATGTAAATTTATGTATATAGATTATAAATAAATAAATGAATAAATAAATAAACATATATATATATAATTATAATTATATATAAATATATTATATTTATAATATAAATGCCATGCTGAGCCTTGACGTGGCTGATCAAAGGTGATGCTGGCAGCTATACTAATGGTGGTCTTTAGTTTAATAAAGCTCAAAACCCAAGCAGACAGACGAATTATTTCTAATTATTTATCTAAACTAATCTAATTAATTATTTCTAGTTTCCCTCGTTTCCCTGTCCTTTTTCTCATCCCGGCGGCGGGGCTGAGCGGTGCTGCTGTACACACCGCAGGGCTGCAGGGCTGCAGCAGGGGGCTCTGGATGACCTTCCAGTTCTCCGTGTAGAAGGCGAGGAGCTCTTCCATGTTGGGAAAGGGGTGTCCCCTCTGGATGTAGAGGCTGCCCCTGGGGCTCTTGCAGATTCGGAAGTGGCTGACCTTGGCGTGGTTGCGCACTGTGGGGAAGCCCAGGTTGGGGAAAATTCACCTCGTGTAAAGATCAGGCCCTCCCCACCTCCCTGCTGACTCCTCCCTCTCTCCTTTAAAGATTACGAGTCTTTTAATAAAGCTAAAGGAGCACAACTCTCCCCTGAACTGCTTCACCCCCTCCCTTCTGATCCCACCTCCTGGCCCAGAGGACTCCTGGCCATTGTGAGCCAGCCTCCTTTGGACCACAGAGGTGATGCTTTGTTATCAGGGATAGTTGATAAGCCTTATTGACAAGCATAATTCCACCATAGACTGCTCAGAGAACAGTGGAGCTGCTCAAAGAGGATAAACCAGGGGTAGCTGTGACTGCCATAACTCAGTGACTGATGGTGGGATGCAGAGTTTGCCATGAATTTCCTAGGATTCTTTTTTGAGGATAAAACCAGGTCATATTGGCACTGCCTTATCCAAAACCCCCTGAATTCAGATTCCAGTAGGTAGGAGCAGCCCAGGCCCTGGTAATCTGGAGTGGCAGCATATTTTTAAACAACCCTCAGATGACAAAAGCTGCTGGAATTAAATCCTGGGAGTTAGTGCCACGAAACTATCATTAAACTGCAGTGAAATGTTTATGGCTTTCATACCCCAGACAGGAGCCATGCACTTTCCTTTGCCACAGTGATTCAACAATCCATCCCTGCTCTGTAAACTTTCCCCTTGGACTCAGAAAGCAGCCCATTCCCTTCAACAAGGTGCTGAAAAGTGCTTTGAATTTTCAAATTCCCATTTCTCACCCCATGTTAAGCAAGCCAGGAGCTGCCCCTAAGGAACAGTGCTTCTTTTCCCTGTGCTAATTTTATCTGGATAATTGCCACAAGGTCACCTGAGAGAGAGTATTCGCCCTTGCTGCTCTCGCTGTCCCGGACGAGGAAGGAGCCGTGCTGGTTGGGAGGCGAGAGGAGGAGCTGCTCCGCTTCGTTTCGGCTGATCTTGCTGAAGTACCAGCTGGGGAGCAGAGCAGAGGGGTCAGAGCAGGGCAAGGGGATGCTGCACACATGGGTCTGCATCCATTTCAGGGGATTCTGCACCCTCTGAGCTGGGGAAGGGGAGCAGCTGCTGGGATCCCAGTGTTTGCTCTTCCCTAGAGCCACCAGAAGCGGCACAGTGGCTAGTCCATGTCTCAAAACCTGCAGATGTGGCAGTCTGCACCAGGGCTGTTCCACTGGGTGGGCTTTACAGGCACTTGCTGCAGTTTGTTGCAGCTCACTGCCTACAGATCATTTTACAGAATCCCAGAATGGTTTGGGTTGGGAGGGACCCCAAAACTCATTTCATTCAACCCCTCCTGCCATGGGCAGGGATGCCTTCCATTAGCCCAGGCTGCTCAAAGCCCCATCCAGCCTGGTACTGAACACTGCCAGGGATGACGCATTTCCTCCACCAGTGTCTGAACACTGCTCTGTCAAGCTGTCAGGTCTCAGCTCCATCCCAAACCATGAGGTTTGTCCTCTTGGGCTGACAGCCTGTGGTAAATAAAGCACCAAGCAGCTGGTGCTGTGTGGAAGGTGCTCTGGTGAGGCTGTCCCCGTGTCCTGCCATGAGAGCAGCATCTGCAGGCACAGGATCCCTTTGCACTTCTTGACCTGCGGCTCATGGGCAGGACCGGCTCTGAGCCCATGAGCAAATGGCATCCATGAAAACATCTCTGGCAATTGCCTTTTGCTGCTCCAGCCATGCCAGTGCTGCTTGGGGACTTCACAGCACCAAGCAGGGGGGAGGACCCAGCCAAAGCCCTTTTCTGTGCCACATCACTGAGATTCATCACTGAATTCCCGTAAGGAAAGGCGGCTTGGCTGGCTGGGTCCCGACACAGCGGGATGCACAGGAAGACGCAGCTCCATCAGCCTAAGGCCACCAGGACGTGAGAAGCCAAAAGTTTTGTCATTAGCTGGAATCACCGGCGTCTGAGAAGCCGCGCAGGAAATTATACGTGATGGGGTGAAGAAATTAGCACCCAGCTCCGACCTGCGGCTCCGCGGAGTCTGTGCGCTCACGGCTGGGAAGCCGGGCACGATCCTTCTGCCTGCCCTCCCACGCCGGGGAATCGCCCTGGTCCCTGTCCTCAGCATGTGGAACAGCTGGGGAACAGCTGCTCACGGCTGGTGCTCACACAGGTACACACAGGTGTACACACACAGGTACACACACAGGTACACACACAGGTACACACAGGTGTACACACACAGGTACACACACACACAGGTGTACACACAGGTACACACACAGGTACACACAGGTGTACACACACAGGTACACACAGGTACACACACAGGTACACACAGGTGTACACACACAGGTACACACAGGTACACACACAGGTACACACAGGTGTACACGCAAGGTACACACAGGTACACACAGGTACACACAGGTACACACACAGGTACACACAGGTACACACAGGTACACACAGGTACACACACAGGTACACACAGGTACACACACAGGTACACACACAGGTACACACAGGTGTACACACAGGTACACACAGGTACACACACAGGTACACACAGGTACACACACAGGTACACACAGGTGTACACACAGATACACACAGGTGTACACACACAGGTACTCACACACACAGGTGTACACACAGGTACACACACAGGTACACACACAGGTACACACAGGTGTACACACACAGGTACACACAGGTACACACACACAGGTGTACACACAGGTACACACACAGGTACACACACAGGTACACACACAGGTACACACAGGTGTACACACACAGGTACACACACAGGTACACACACAGGTACACACACAGGTACACACAGGTGTACACACACAGGTACACACAGGTGTACACACAGGTACACACACAGGTACACACAGGTGTACACACACAGTGCACACACAGGTACACACACAGGTACACACAGGTGTACACACACAGGTACACACACAGGTACACACACAGGTACACACAGGTGTACACACACAGGTACACACACACAGGTACACACACAGGTACACACACAGGTACACACACACACAGGTGTACACACACAGGTACACACACACACAGGTGTACACACACAGGTACACACACATGTACACACACCTGTGTGTGTGCTACACACTCTGCTGTAGCCTGTCCCATGCCATGGGAATAAGG